TTTTCATAAGAGAAAAAAAAGTGCTTAAACCTTGACTTCCCTTATGGTTCTTAAAGTCAGTACCATGAATTTGGAAAGCTCGAAAGGCCCTCTGAAATAGAAATATCATTAAGAACTGTTCCCTGTTTAAACAGCGTAACAACAGGTATCACCAGTCAAATTTGCTGCGAAGAATGCGCCTAAAGCTTTATTATTTTCAAAATAAACTTTCAAAATAACCAACTCGCAAAATTACATATCTTGTTTATACCTTGTTTTCTATCCAAGCGATGTGATAGCGCCCTTACCAGTGGGAACTGTTTAAAACTTTGTTCTGGGGATCAAGTAACGGGTAGGTAACTTTTTTCATTACGTTTTACCTCTTCATTTACCGAGAGAGAGATTACAAAGGAAGACACATCGCGCACTTTAATTGTTTAGTTTCACTTTCCCGTGTGTTTGTAAACAAGTGTTCGATTAGTTTCCGCTTTACATTTTAGAATAATCCTTTTCTTTCTTAAAATGTCTTCGGTGTCAAGGTTTGAAATAATCAGATAATGACTAAGAACAAGAAATAAGTACATTTTCTGAGTGATTGATCAATCAGCAGATCTTGTACAGATCGATGACGGCTAGATTTCTTTGAACAATATGATCTCATGACCTGTTGATAATAAACTATGAGAAAATAAAACTGCAAGGGTATATTTGAATATTTGATGGGCAGAACCTCGATTTCCTTAGTAAATAAGATACAGTTTTCAGGTCAGGTCCAATTTTCCAGAATATCTTATAACGTGCTGTACATCAGTGACTATTTCAAGGCGTTCATAATAACATAGCTCAGTACTGTTTACCCAAATAATGGTGCTGTTAATATTTTGAAAAGTAGAGTTCTCATTACTCTTGTAATCTCTTTCCGAGAATCCTAAAGGCGATCGAGAAATGGGATCGTCTGTTTTATTTTTCCTCCGTCGAAGTAGGATTTAAATCAACGAGATTTGAAATCAGAAGGTGAATGAAGCTAGAAACTGGACTGGGATATAGATAAAAATATTCCAATCACAACATAAACAATTATTTGTTGGTGCACAAGGAATCATTCGAGTTCCCACCGCTGCTTTTCCCATCGCGATCAAAACGCCCAGGAATTATGTAAATTGTGCTCTTGTGTACGAGATAATACTGTTTGGAATGATTTCAAAACTAATTTCTAGGATAATGAGGGCCCCTTCCTTATTTTATTGGGTGTATTTGTGGAATTTACCGCTACATTTTTGTAGGAAATACGTTGGTTAGGAAGCGATCCAAGATTTCAGTTCGCTTTTAATTTAGGACTAAATGCAGTGGCTCTTCTTTCATACATTCCTCTAACCTTAGATGAGAATTATAAGAGTGGAATGCTGTTAAATGTGATCGTGAATTAAACTTCCTGCATGTTGAAGTTAAGCCAGTCAATCAAAGTTATATATATTACGATGCTTACCTACTCTATTACTTTGTTTTTTGATGTCATTATCGTTTTCACCGTGAGGAATGAATGTTCTGCGGATTGAAATCAGATGCCTACAATTCCAGAATTAGCTCAGGTTTGCACTTATTATGTCTTAAATTTTAGATCAGTGCCGATGAAAACTAAGACAAGAAAGTCATGCTCACGCTGTGCAAGGAAAATGACAACCAATTTTATTGGTTTTATTTGTTGTTGCTTGTTGCATAACTCTTAAAGAAGATCATGTTGTCGTCCTTGTGATGGCGATCTTTAAAGAGCCCAAGTTTCCATTTTCAAGAGCAAACATAATGCTGACGTGTCGTTGCAACGACTGCTAATTCATTTATAAAACATAACGGAGAGAAGTTATCGACCTAGTATCTTACCGCTGTTTTTGCTGAGCGCGCTGTTGTTAACTGACGTTACCGTCCTCTTCCAAAATCACCTTAATATTTCCCGAGCGCTCTCTCTCCCTCCCCCCTCGACGCTGACATTGTGTCGCATTTGCAGTATCTCACTGGCCAATTCGAAGATATAAGTTCATGCCTCGTTTCTGGAGAGAAGGAAGGGCAAATATGATCAGTCACTAATCAACAACGCTGCCGATAAAGGCCAAGCCAGACTTTACAACTTTTCTTGGGTTTATTGACATCAGAATCAAGCATAAGGTCTAAAAGGTGTTTTATTGAAGGCTCTGACTTACAGTAAACATGGTGCACTTATTGACAACTTTTACACTTGTTACAATTTTCTTTGCTCTGTGCCATGTTCCCTCTAGAAGGCACGTTCGTGTTCAAATTATCCTTACCGTAAAAGCCATGTTTGATGAGCACGTTTGAGCCAAATCACGAAGTTATTTGAATATCACGTTCTACAATAAATTAGAATTCTCAAAATGAGTTAAACAATCTAGAAATTAACTACAAATTAGACATCAACTCACTACCAAATATCTAATTTAGTGATATTCTTAGACCTTTTCATTACATTTTTTATTTTGAGTGAGTTATCAGTAATGTAAGCATGATCTATATTGACATCACTTTAAGTCCTAATGATTATAACGCTCGTAAAGGAGTTATGAAAATTCTATTAAATGGGCTACCTAGCTTATTGGTAAACTTCAAAACCTCTAATAAGCAATGTCTTGTATTTTTTTGTTTGTTTTTTGAAGAGTAGTCTGGATGCAAAATTCTCACAAGCGAGTTGTGAAAATAGACAATTATAATTTTTATCGAACCACTAAACTCCCTGGCATACCTAAACGTTTTATAGGTTATTTGATAAATCTGCACTCGGGATAAACGTCCTAAAATCACGAAAAAAAAGTCACTTTACATCTAGGTCGTACTATAATGCTCGAAAAGGAGTTATAAAAATTCTAAAAATCAACTATTTAGATTACTACTTGGGTAACTTAATAAACTGCCAAAGAACTGATTAATGACTTCTCATCCAATAAAATGTTAACTATTCTTTTGTTACATTTTTAATTATTCTTCTTTAAGAGATAGTGATGAAATAGAAAACAAAACAAAACAAAAAAAGATATCGATACTTAGCTGTGGAACTGGGGTATTTATATAGTTGTTATGATCATGCAGAGTCTCTCAGAACTAAAGCCCAGGCCGTAAAATTTTCTGAGTTCTTTAATATAATCAGAAGCCCCAAATAACCGTTACTGTAACTCTTACTAAATAAAATTCTCGTAAACGGGTAAAAAAGTTTTATGAAATTAACTATATAGATCATCAGGATATTATTAAATATTAACGATGTGAGATGTTAAGCAGTAAATGCTTTGTTTCTTTTAGATTAAAGAACCTAAAAATGAGCTATTAATCGCTAAAACATGCAGTTTTGAAATACGCTAAAAGAAAAACACTAACAGGTAGTTAGACTTGTCAAAGTCAACACACATACACACTCAAAAATTAAATAAAATAAACAAACAAAAAATAAACATGAAAAAGAAAACAGACAAGATCAAACGGAAATGGAGACAGAACTGCCATTACACGCCCATTCAGAGATAGCGCCCAATATGTGAATTAGCATGTTATGCAATCTATAGTTCAGCTAACTAACTTATGTTATTATTTTATCGAAGGGAAAATAAACAAAAAGGATTGTTTTGACTAAGATACTTCCACGGACACTACATAATGATTACTAGAATTCCATTTCTTCTTGAATTCTCTTCTTCAGTCCTTACGGGCCCTTTAGTAATGGAAGGAGTAAAAGCACATTGATTAATTTATTGCAAAACGTGTGTATTAATAAATTGTTTGCTTGATCAACCAACTGTCAGTCGGTCAACTGGTTCAGGCTTCTGACTCAGCAGGCAGCTAGAAACTGAATCAGTTTAGTGCCATGCCCACAGCAAGGGAAACAGTCAGGCAGACAGTCAAGCAGATAGTTATACCATCTGTCTGTCAGCTTAATCAGTTAATGTAATCTGACGGCGTAGTGGCCAGCTCACCGGTTGGTCCGTTGACCAGACAGTATTATTCAGATTATGAGAAGGTTCTAGAGACTGAAGGTGCAAGAAATCAGGGGTCAACAGCCCATGCATGTACACGGAAATGCATCAGAGCAAAAGTACGAAAATGTCACCCTTCATCTCAAATCTGAAACTAGTTTGATAAGTTTGATAAGATATCAAAAAGTGCACAAATTTTTTAAAGGTTTTCCGCACCCTTCAGTCAGTGGTACTCACTATTGAAGAAGACACAACAAACATTTACCTTGGTCCGAAAAGCAAGAACTAAAGTCTGGTATCAAAAACCTCTTCTTCCCCTCCTTGGAATACGAAAAGAGAAAAATTTATATATTAAGCTACTTAATCAGAATTTATTGTTGCTAACACAATTCTAACTTGTCTGTGTTAAAGAGTTTTAAAAGTTGAGGTTCACGACGTCATAAGCCTCACTTCTAATTAATTAGCTTTACCACGTGGCAGCTATGTTTCCTCCATCTAAGCAAACATCTTTATAGCTAAGAAATGTTACAAAAAGTGAGAGAGCTCTGGAAGATTCAAAGGTGCCATATTTAGTGTCAGTATTGCAAGTCAGATCTTGGCCGTTCACTGTGACGAAGTACAATAGTACTCAAGTATTCCTCTTTTCTCTTAATTCAATCACTTCCGATGTGGACCGCCGCGTTTCAACTTTCCACAGACAATAACGTGGACAGATTATGTGTTAATTCATGACCACTTCGAGTCTATGTTGGCTGATTTATAAAGAACTCTACCTTTCTGTGTGTCCTCCATGTCAGGCTCAAGCCGCTTCTTTTCTTCTTCTTCTTCTTCTTCTTCTTCTTCTTCTTCTTCTGCCTTTTGAGCTTTTATAAAAGATGATTTATTGACCAAAAGTAAATTAGAACTCAGTCTTTCAATTTGTTTCTTTTTCTTTTACTTCAGCATGTTTACGAATCATTCATTTTCCATTGGCTACCGAGATGAAAGATGTGCCTCAATAACTAATCTGGTGCCTTAACCTCTTGAGTGACAAATAAAAAACCCTCCCTCTCCTTTACCTTCATCACTAGTTATTGGAATTTCTTCACTCTCCACTTTCTCCTCAGATTTGCCAGCTGTGTGATAGCAAAGTTATTTATTCGAATGAGGTAAAGTACATAAATATATAAAGTTGTCTAGATGGTAAACTCGGCCCATGGCCCTTCTATTAAATCAGTAAATTGGCCCAGTTAGCTTTTAACTTACAAAAAATACATAAATGATAATAATTATGATAATAATTATAAAGCTTGCATAGTATGCAAAAATAATTAGGTGAAAGTAATGGTAAATAATGTATAGTTCTTAAAAAATATGAATCGTTGTATTTACCTTCCTTAGTTAGCTCTTCTGTGTCAAGCTTTTTTTCTCCTTCTGAAGAAATTGAATTAGAACATATTGTACCTATTAAATGATGTTCATTTGAAGTACTGCAATTGAAGAAGGTCAACGTTTGCCACCAATTCATCAATCACTTTTGTCTCTGTTGCTTCAGATACTGAATAAGTGCGTATACAACGCCTACACGTAAATACCCTTGAAATTTAACTCGATGGACGCAGAGAGCCGAAAATGAACGAGGCAAAGCTGGTGCCCTCTTCCGTCTTCTCCAGAAGACAATGTGTTTGATAAAAGGTGCATTAGTACTCAGCCATTCAATCTTGTTTTTACTGAAGCATTTCATAAAATATTTTTTCTGTTTCTGTTTTTCAGCGACTACTAAGGTGAAAGATATGTTTCAATAACCTGCTTAACCTCCTGAGTGACCAATTAAAGCTACCCTCTCCTTTACCTTTGTCACTTGCCCTTGGAATCTCTTCACTCTCCACCTGCTCCACAGATTTTTCAGCTGTGTAATAGCAAAGTTATTAATTAAGATGAAGTATAAGGACCTTAAGACTGACGTATATAAAGCAATAGACTTGTCCTCACTGTCACTTTGTGAGTAAGCCAGGAAATTGGCCCAGATGGCAGATAAGTTCAAGAAAAGGTGACTTCCACTATATGCGGAAATAAAGGAAACTTATGTCGCACAAAGTACAGTTCAAGAAAAAAATCATTCTATTTACCTTCCTCAGCTAGCTCTTTAGTCTCAGGCTTTGTCTCTCCTCCTTGGCCTGCAGAAACTTGTACATAGTACAAAAAATTTGTAGTCAACGAATGACATTCATTTGAATAATTGAAAATAACGAATCGACAGTGATCGAAATTGTGGGAGGATCACCAGAGAGAGGACATAAGCGGAAAATTCGGTAGCGTTGAAATAGTCGACGGTACAATTTTGCCACTTCTTAAAGCCTTTGTTCAATTGCCACCAATTTGCCAGATAACTGTTATTCCCGTTGCTTCAGGTACTAAAAGAATGCGCACAAAAGACCTCAATGCAGATGCCCCTCAACTTAAAAATATTCCGAATTTCGACTCAGAAAGCGAAAAAAATGTTGAGACTAAGCTGGTACTCTATTTCAGTCAAACGTTTTTTTAACAACTTAAAATTGAAAATATCTTGACATTGACCAAAGTAACGTTATGTGTCCACCGAAACCAATGTGTACGACAATTGCCATATATATTTAAATGCTTGTATCTAGAGCCACGAGTTACATCAACGGCGAGCCTCCAGATATAAAAAAGGTTCCTGTAAGCACCTTAAACTTCAGTCACTTCTAGTCTCTCCTGTAGTCGGATCTTTCATAAATTCAATGTGAAATAATGGTTTCATAAAAATAGACACTTATCAACATTAGAGCCTTCCGTCAAAGAGTAGACCATCCTAGTTACAAAAGGAGTTCAACATATACCTTCTTTTTTACTTTTTCGTCGATGCTGGCGTTCACCATGATGAACAGCAACTGCAATAAAGAATATCCTTCTTTTAAATAAGTTGCAAATTGTTTGGGAGAGGGTCCAGCGTTGAAAACAAATCTTATTTGAGTCTAACTACATTCAAACATGAATAGAACTACTCCCTTCCCTCTATTCCGCCAAAGAGGATTAAAACAGTTTCAAGCAAAATGTGCGAACCTCAACTTTTTTTTACTCACACAACTACCTACTATACTTTAGCGTGGGAAATTAGAAATTCGCTTTTTGCGTTCGAATCTCCGTCCCATTTCATTTTTTTTTCTTAGAGGTTAGCTTGCTGCTAATAATTATCTATTGATGTTATTAACCAGGTATTACGCAAGAGTCTTCCCACCAAAATGTACAACGCCTCATGTTGAGTGCGTTAAAGACATAAATACTTCTAATTTTGCACAATTTCCTTTCACACCTAGTGTCCACGAGACTATCAATCCAAAGTTAAAAATCTTTTTTTTTGTTTTGAATTTGCAATGACTCGTTACTTTCAGTAGGTAGGGAAGGCTTCTCTTATAAATTCCTTCATAGGAGAAACTTGGAGTCTTTTTTTATAAACTGGTGGTAACAGCCAGCACTAATAATATAGTTTCCTACAAAAAGTTCTTTACCTTCCACAGTATTTTTAGTGGCTGATCTGATATCAAAATCATCCTCATAATCTGTTTCAAACAACAAGTAGAGTGAAACATGTCATAACTTTTGTGGTTCGTTTATTCTTCAAATGAATTTTACAGAAAATAATATTCGTATGACGTAATTCAGATACGAAATCTTAAAAAAAAACAAATAAACAAACAAAATACTTTCGATAAAGTTTACTGTACAGCTTAGTTTCCGCATTGAATGCGCATAAACTTAACAACTTCTAGCACGATAGATTACTCAGTTGAGTTAAAACTTGGTTAAACTTGTCATACAGCTCGCATTGTTTTACATCTGCGAGTTTGTGCGCATGAGATAGTCTGTTGAAGTCATACTTTTGCAAAAGACAGTTGATTTGATCGAATACTTTCAAGTTCTTTTATTCATTCCTACTACTTTATTTCTTGCAAAGTAGTTGGCGATTTTTAGGAACAGTTGTAAAAAGCGGTTGAAGTCATAGCTTCAGTACTGATATTGTGAATGAAGCGGCTGTCTACGACTTAATTTCATATTTTTTCATGAATGAAGTTTCAAGAGGAAGAACAACAACATCAACTGAAATAATGATAATAATAATAATTATAATGATGATAATAATAATAATAATTATAATAATAGGCAGTAAATTTTAATTCAAGTTAGAAGACATTATACCTGAGGAAGATGGAGTCTCATCCCCACCACAGGCTTGTTCCATTGCTGTTGATGGTTCAAATCGTTATGTTAGAGTTATTTATCAGATAATAAAAGCAAAAAGGTAAAACATTGAATGATCTTTTCAATACGTATCATTCATTTATTAGATCTGTGCCATATTGATAACGATATTACCTTGGTTGCACATGACACCTGTGCAGGTTTCTAATTTAAAGGGATGGGGATCTCAAAGGGGAAGTTCAGAAACTGGGTCGTCGAAAAAAAAAAGAATTGTTGTATGTAACTTGTGAAAAACCAAAGGATTTTTTTTGCAATTATTAACCAAAGGTGACAAAACCAATCACATTTATGTCATATGATGAAACATTTCCTTAATCTTTCCCTAACCAAAATTCACACGTAGAACGTATCAAAATAGAAAAGAATAGTATGTTTCATCATAGGTATTTCAATTTGAAAGAGCTCACCCACTTCAGTGGATTACTTGATTACAGTTGAAATCAGAAAGTCAATCACACATTAACATTAACATCAAAACATTATACATTTAAACACATAAGTAATGAATGCGAGTTCTGAGTCGACCTATTAACCTCAAAGATTTACCGTTTGATTCCCTAGTTTTCTAATTGGCTAGTTTTGAAATGATTTTTTTTAAAGAAATAAGCATACATATGGAATACTGACCCGGTTGCGGAGCAGGCAATTCAGGGGCTTCCGCTTCTGGTTCTTCGTTGTGTTCTATTACTTGCATTTCAATCTGTTCTCCTATGGGGAAGATAATGCAGACACAAAAACAAACAAAAGATGGGATTAAGAAGGGAAGAGAAGAAACGAAAGAAAGGTATTACACACAAAACCATAACGAGGCAAAGAGAATATACACATTGGGAATCACTATATTTACCCTCTTCGTTGTCAGCGTGTTCATGTCCATTTCCGATCTGTCCCTGCTGATTATTTACTCCTTCTAAGTAATAAAATAGCAGTAACATATCTTATTTGGTCCTCTCCAAACGGAGAATAAACTACTGTTAGGCCTATCCAAATATTTTAAGGAGGAGGGGGGGGGGGCGGGGTAAGTTTCTGAAGAAACTGTGGCGCTGCGTCGGTGGTGGAGTATAACACACCAAACTATCTCGTCCACATATTGATTTCAAAAAGTCCTTCTACCAGTCAGATTGTTTCTTTCCCTTGAAATTGAAGACCGAAGCTCAACGATTTATTGTTTTTTAATTGCGTGGTTGCCCCTTAATAATTTTTTGAAGTAATAATGATAATTCCAATAATAATTCAAATAATTTTCTGAAGTGCATTGTCCTATTCTCTACTCACACCTATACCCCCTTTCAAGGTCTGATTATGATATGTATAAATGGAATATAGCACCGTGCCTTCTTGATTTTGTCCACTGCTGAAAATCGATCGAACATTGGACCACACCTTCCTCAATTTTGCTTTCAAAACAGCTTGAACCTATACAGTAGAAATTTAGTTAATAAAGTATGTCGGAATATAGATCAAACCGCTTTTAAATTCAAGTTGGTCTCCATGGTTATAACCAACAGCGTAGAAACAAACAAACAACTTTGCGATCGTTCATATTTTTTTCCATGCCCATTTTTTCTCCTTTTGGGTTATTTTTTTTTTCTGTCATAAGGAAATGAGAGAGACTGTCTTTGATTGACATTAGGAAAATTTCTAATTAAAAAAAACCGTTGGGACCACGGGTGTTTGATTCAGATAATTATCTCGCAAAGATGTCTCTTAAAACAACAAATGAAAGAATGTTCCATTCAAAAGCAAGAGAAAAATGGTACCTGTGGAGTAGAAAGGGTATACAGCAGTGGGTTGATAGCTGAATTGATCGGCAAGGCGAACACTGCAATCCACACTGCCAGATCACCAGGTGGATCAAACGTTTTCTCGACGTGCGACTTAATGCCGATAGCAATGATTGGTATCCAACACAAGAAATCGGTCAGAATAATGAAGAAGACTCTTTTGGCAAGTGCTCTTTCTCTTTTGGCCTGTGCGCTTTGTGCTCTTGCTCGTATTTCACGAACAGTTCCATGCGCACCCAGCCGTCTGCTTGACGACCATGATTTCAACAAGATGGCAACATAAGCAACCGTAATAAATAGGAAAAGAGAAAAATTTAAAACGATAAAGATGGAAGTGGAGAATTCCCAGCCTTCTTGTAATTGCGGGGAAAGTTGCAGTGGCAGGCACACCACGTTCTTGCCATAATACCAGTCACCAAAATATCGCATTCCAGACAACGGAAGGAATGCCATGATGCCTCCCACAAGCCAGATAACTACACACATAATACGGGTCTGCCTCGGTGTAATTTTTGCAAACGTGTAAGGAAACACAATGTTCTTGAGCCTGTCCCATGCAATCAGAGAAATCATCATAACAGACACCTCGCTTGAAAGGACAGACATGGCGCCATTGAAATGGCAAAACCAACCGGTGCGCCACTCATAGTCGTGCAGGTAGTATTCCCCTGACCATTGCAGGTCTTTTATACCTATAATGATGAGGTAAATACCCATGATGCCGTCTGAAATACCCAGATTTACCAACATAATGGACTGGACCATATTGTTATCAGGGAAGAAATACTGCCACCCAACTACAAACACAGACCCAAACAACGAAAGAAGGCCGACAACCCAAAGACTTCTCCTTGGAGCAAGGTTGCGGAACATGGAGTGACAGCTTGCGAAGTTATCATTGAAGGCAAATTCGCAATCGGCATCCTGCCTGAAAAGATCAAGGTGGCAGCACATCAGGTTGGTGTCCAGAGTTCTGGAATTAGAAAAAGAAGGGGAAATTAGAAAGGGTTCATCGTTAAAACAATGAGAGAAAAATAATAAAGATTATCGAAAACAATCGGGAAATAAGTGATCTATGCTGAGGCAAAGATGATTGGTAAGCATTTTTTTCATAAATTAGTAGCAATTAAAAAGTCTCACGAAGCATGCCTTTGGCAATTTTGTATAATAACTAAATGTGGCTTCATATCATTTCAGTATTGGAATTGATAGAAGATGTTGGCATGAATGTAAATTTATTGATCAACTGAACTAAACAGACTGAAGGAAACAAAATTATTAAAATGGTTGCATCACCCATATCACAATTTGACAAAGATTTCTACTTTAAAGGCAACTCAGACAACACTCGCCCCAAATCTCCTATTAAAACCATTGAGATAAATTATTATAATGGAGTATTACACTCTGATAATGTGCGGCAAAAGCCCAAAAAAGCCTTTGGGGAGCTCAGCCATCAGGTTGTAATGCAAGAATCTGAAAGTTTAAAATAGAAGGTGAAAATTTAATTAGCATATAATAAATTGCATATCTCATTTTCCCAAATAACTAGCTACAAGCCTTTCTTTTGACTGCGACAAATTTAAAAGAATACCAACCTTAATACTCTAAATTAACTTCAAGCTGGGTCTTATTCGATTGCAATACATGCGGCTTTATTGTAAGTACCATGATAAATAATTGCCATTTACGGTGAACTTACAAAAATCGCAGTTCCTGGGCATGACTGAAAGTCGTGCTAGTCACATTTTGTATCTTATTGCCGAAGATATTTCTGTAAAAGGTTAATAACATAACTATTAATGAGCAGATGGTAAACAGGGACCTGCATTGTCTGATTCTTAAAAATTTAACCTGAAGATGCCGTCGGAATTTTCATAGTTCTCAACTGTGTTTGTTTGTTTTTTTGATAATATCTGCTTTTGCATAATAACACCATGTTTAACACCACCTTTCTTTCGTCAAGAAAATAGAAAGTAATAAAATTACATTGTTGAGCATTACAATTTAAACCACGCCTGTTGGAGATCATGTGAATATTTCAAATAAGAATTCCATACTTTGAATCTTTCTGTTACGTACATTTTCATCTTCTAAAAAATTCTAGAGAATTTTTTGTGTGTAATCAACGGTACTCACAGAGCCTTGAGGTTCTTGACGCCTTTGAAAATCTTGTCAGGCAAAGCCTCGATTCTGTTCTCCGAGAGGTATCTTATACAGGTAAAGATAATTTTAAACTAATACACGAGTAACATGGCATAACTAGGCATGGCACATCTAACTTAAAAAACCGAACCGATATCAAAATTATATCACAGTTATATAGATCTGATGAAAAATACCGTGATTCATTTTTTATAGAAGCTAATACTTACAGAAGATACTAACCATATTTACTAAGGGGGTGTTCCCTATTATGGCTCCTGATTTTATATTCTAACTAATATCTGTGCTACCATCATCGAAGTATATTCAAAGGCCATATTAGAACTCAGGATACCAGGTTAAATCCCTTAGAAGATTAATCACACGGCCGTTGTAATCCAAACCCTTGCAGTATTTATAGCCAGTATCTTTGTCTCAGCTAAATTAAAGCCATTTTTTTCTTTATTACAAATAGCTGTTATCCTTTCAAGTTTGCTTTATCATTTCGGCTCTAGTTATAGAAAGTTATAGAAATCGAGTTTACCCATCTAATGCGAGTGCCAATATAAACAGACATCTCATCAGTGCATTTAAGCCGCTTATCGTTAAAACGTTAAAAAAAAAAACCTTGCCAATACACAATTATCATGCACTTCTTTTGGTATTACCTCTCGACATAAATGTGGTTAATTTGTAGACCGTTACATGTCAATTTGTATTCACTGGCTTAGTTTGTTTTTATAAAGCAGATGAATTGGCTGGTTCTAAAATATGTTTTAGATTGCGACAGATCACAATGAAGAATTAACGTCTTAAATCTAAATGTACTTACAAATCGAACAACTCCTCTAAGCCCTGGAACTGATCTTCATGAAGCCTCTCAATTTTGTTGTAGTCCATTTTCCTGAAGAAAGTGTCATGAAAATGTTAGCCTGAAATACAAATATGTAGCTTTGAAGTGATATCCCTAAATCTACTGTTGTCTTCTTAATTTACTGCAGGAAAATTACCACCGGTGAACTAGCTCTCGGTTTTTATATTTAAACATTAAACAGAATAAAAAACAACGGAAAAAAAAACCTGAGATCAACATGTATTCTTAATTCTCTCAGATCAGAGAAACTTTGAATTTTATTACTAGAAACCTCTGCTGTTGGTCTGTTGTTTAAAGCTGAGTTTAAATTTGAAAGTCGTAAGTAGTCTTTTGACCATTTTTACAAAATTATTTGGGTTGCTTTAGTATTTAAGTAAAAAAACTCTACAAGACAGGGTAAAAAAAAAAAGAAATGTAAATTTTCATGAACTAAGAAGCTGATTTACTCACTTCTTGTTGTCATTGCAAAGTAATTCTTAAAGATAGTTTTTAATTTCTCTTAACTCAAAGAAAATCTCACATACAGAAATTTCACAGCTGTAATGTTCTTAAATATGTATGGCGGTAGGTTTCCAAGTTCATTATTTGACAAATCCCTTAAAAACAATGATAACCAAAGTTACAAATCTATAATCATGAAATTATTGGCGGCTTTTGAAGAACAGTTGCCAATAAAATATTGTCTCCCTTTGCAGTAGTTTCCTAGTTGAATGTATTTGTTTTAACTTTCTTTGCAAAAGGGAACAATATAGATGGTTGATCTTTTTTTTTTAACAGCTTTTTTGACCTTTACAATTGTTACATACAGCAAATTAAACAGCTAAGAAAAACAATGAAATATATGTGCAAAGTGATTTAAAGTGATAAGGTCAAAAGGGAAGGTGCGAACGGGACGCGAGGACCCATGCGAGGTACCTCCCATGGCACAAATAATAATTAAAACATGATCAACCAAAAGACGCCAAACTAGGGATGGCAGGGGCAGGATCGTACAATTGACCAGGTACAGGGATAGGATATGTCAAAGTGATTGTACAAAAGGTGAAACATGTGCTCGGTAACAAAGTTGCGGAAGGAAGCAGTAGTTGAAAAACTGGTAGGGGGTGAAAATTTACAGATATATAGTTCCAGAGCTTAACAATACGATTAAAGTAAGAGGCCTGAAAAGTGCTAGTTTTACATACAGGAGTTTTAAGGTTATAAGAATTACTTAGTCTGGTTCGGCCGTGAGAAACAGGAGAAACAAAATCATAAACATTAAGATCAATAAAGCCACTCCGACATTTGTAAAAAAAACAAGATCTTTGAGTTCGCTTCAGGGGAAGAAGTTTCAGAGTTAAAAGTCTGTCTCTGTATGACATCACGCCTACACGTTGTTTGAGGATCCACCTTGTGGCCCTCCTTTGAACCCTTTCAATTTGAGTTTTTAATGCAATCTTGTCCGGGGACCAGACTTGGGTCGCGTAGGATAACTGAGACTTCAAAAGTGCAAGATAAAGTGAGCGTTTAGCAGAGACATCGTTTAATAATGGGCACGTGTGTTTTAAAAGTCCAAGTAACTTGTTGGCCTTAGCAGTAATAGCATTGGATATGTGTGTTCCAGGTGAGAGAGTTGGTGATGTGAACTCCATCGTCTTTCTCCGTGGACACACGCTCGAGTTCTAAATTATCAAGCTTGTAAATGAAGTCTAGCGGGCTCTTTTTTTCGAGTGATGGTTAGCGCCTTGCATTTAGAAGCATTGAACCGGATATTGTTGTGCCGAGTCCACGTGTGCATGTTGGTCAAGGTTTTCAGCATAGACATGCAGTCATCGATGGTATTGATGTTGCGATATATTTTGGTATCGTCAGCATAAAGGGAAGTGAAAACATCACCTATGGCTGCATCTGGGAGGTCGTTAATAAATAATTAATTCCAGCAAAAAAGCGCCGGTTATCACACGATTAAAATATGATGTAGTGCGGACCGACAAGAACTTAAGATAATCCGTAAACATCTCGTGGGGAAAATGTCATGCAGAAAGCTTTTTTCACGCAAAATAGGAAAATTGATTAAAATTTGCTCTAAGAGATTTTGTAAAGACTCTAACTGTGATGAAAAAAAGAAGACAACAAAAACGCGGAAAGTATAATGATGTTGCTACCTCGCGTGCAGCAAGTGAATAATATCCAACATGAAAATTATCAACATGAATTAATCAAAATAGTTTTATTATCATTGTACATTACTTTTATTATCATTGTTTTTTTAATGAGATTATAATTATTATTATTGTTGCAGCCTTAGTTAAATGGTTTATCATGCTATGCTACAAGCAGGTTTTTTACTAGTAATTTTCAAACCTCCAAGTACGTCAACTTTACTCATCAAAGCACATTTACATGATGTAGCATTCTAAAATTCATCTAATCAGTTTTACAAAAATTGATCGTAAAATTTTCATGACACGGAGACAAAAAGTGAACCATAGACTTTGATTCATCTAGGAACTTATTCATTTTTATCACCAAAACTGTGCTGTTTCTGTAACGAAACATCAGCGCTTGCAAATTTCGATTTATACACACATGTCAAACCTTTCAATTTTACCTTAAGTGTTTCTGTTGACTGAATATGGCGCGCAGCTTTGAGAAATGTGCTCTCGGGAAATTTCATTGACCTCTTTTCGCACTTTTTTTGTGTAGCGATTATTGTACTCACAGATGTGTTAGGCTGGAAAGGCTGTTAAAAATTCCATCTGGTAGAGTCTTCAATTTGTTATTTGACAGATAGCTAATAGGAATGATGAGATAAGAAAGTGCGTCTCCTGGTAAATCATTCATTAAAGAAGTCATCGAGACACCTACCTAGTTCACAACAGATAATGATATAATGACCAGACACTTCATGGCACGCTTTGATTTCGTTGCTGTATGACCAAAACCCTCTACTCTGATTATCAGAAAAATAATGACGAAACAGTTTTATATGGTTCAATTGGTTTATTTCCGTTTTTCGTGCTGAAGGTAATATCAGAAAATTTGAAAACGGAAATATTTTGTCTAATCTCGTATGATTAGAGACGCAGTAATATGGTTACCAGCGTTATCAATATAATCACAAGAGCAGTCTTGTTTTAGAAAGGAGACGACATGAAAAGCTGATAATCATACCCTTAGCGCAGTTACAAAGCTAATTTCTGAGGAGAGCATTTACATGTAACTTACAGTTTTTCCAGGCTTTTTAGATCTTGAAATAATTCGGGAGGCAGTTCAGTGAAGCTGTTGTCTTCCAACCATCTGTGTTGAAGAAGAAAAATCTACTTAGTTTTATTAAGAAGCGTTTATAATTACTAGTCTTCTGGCTATATTGTTGCACGAGAGATAAGAGCAAAAAGAAATAAAATGGAAAAAATAAGAGTGGAGGAGAATAAAAAGCAAAAGGTTATTAGGAAGGGAGGATGCTGCTGCTTTATGAACACAGTTATTGTTAACAAAGGCATCGCGTGAAACACAATAAAACAGATAATCAAATTATGTATCTGACCATACATCACAACAAAATGCAATGCCATTCGATGCAATGCAATTCAATCAAGTTCTCTGTAGTTATTCAACGAGTGGGAGGGCCGAACTAGAGATTGTTTGGCTTGAGATCATGGTGCCCTTACCGTTCGGAGTGGGATGAGAGATATGATAAAACAAAATTTTTGAAAGGACAATAGTAACAAACCGATAATGGTTTCTCAACCTGCTGCAATGTTATACATTCATCTTTGTTTTATCTCAATTCTTCAATTTTATCAACATGGAGCAATTATCTGTATCAGAAGATATATTGATAAACCATCTCTAAAGAAATATTTTTGATAAAAGAGGTGTCGTTCCCGTATCATTTCATAGTATAAGTCACAAAACAAATGTTAATTCATTGCTATCCAGCAAAGGGAAATTATAAACTCTTACTATATCTAAATTTGTATTAACGACAAACGCCTATTAAAAAAGGAATTATATATTCACTTACAGTTCCCGTAAATTTTTCAAGTTTTTGAAAGCCTTTCCGTTTAACCCTTTCATGTCGTTGTCATTCAGGCGTCTGCGTCATTTACCATAAAAACTGATTAATAATAAAGTTATGATACGCCTGAAGTGAATCGCTCCAGGTAGGGGAATCACTTAGACTTTTCTGGGCTGTTGTCCCTGACAGCTATTGATGTTGTGTTAATTAAGCAAAAATAGGCATCACTTTCATGAGTGATTGTTTTTTTGCACTTCATCCTTAATACTCATTAAACCACACTGCTGGTACCTCCATACTGGAACCACACACCTGTTGATGACTGTTTTAAAAAGAATGAATCTCTTAATGGCAAGTCCTGGACCGATATCTGATTACAGAATTCCTTGTCTTGAATGTGACAGTCGATGTCATTCTTAATACAAATTCTTTTTAACGAGGAATCTGATGAACCTGTTTAGGTTTATCTATAACACTCTGACTTGTGTCAATTTAAAAAAAAAAAAACGCTCACAGGCTGTTAGAGCTGTTGTGCGGCAAAAGAGGCGCATCTTAGCCGCACTTCAAGAAAGATTTGGCAATATCCTAAGTACCACTGCGTCTGTAAAATTTCCTGTTCTACTGGACATGCGAATTTGGTAAGCAATTAATAACGGGTCTGAAATCTTTAGGTATCTTTACGTTCGTATAAGACTCACTCTTCGGTAACTTTAAATCGTACGGAAAAGAAATGTTACTTACAAATACTGCAACTTTGTGTTATTGTCGAAGATTCTCAGGGGCAGGTTGTGCAACTGCATTTCAGACAAGTACCTAATGATATAGACCCCATGCATAAGTGTTGCACAGCATATAAATAGAAGCAATACATTACCAAATTACTTTATAGTTGGTTAAGTAAACCCAATCTTGATGTGTAACTATAAGGATTGGACTCATTCTTGTAATAATTGCCATCTCAGCTCTTCTACTTTTCATTCCTTGATAAGCTGTATTATGATTTCTCTCGGTAGAAATCAGTGGTATCGCTAAGGGCGTGTCATCCATCTTTTTACTTTTCACTTTCCTATTTATGCAGCTACAGTGATTAGCTCTTGTGAATTGAGTAAACTAATTCTTTCGGAGAGAATTTAACTGTTTATAAAGCTATGAGCGTCATTTGAAGCTCAGTGAAAATCAGAGTCAAAATTATGTTTTGAAGTGACTTAATTCTCATAAGTTTGTGCGCCGCAAGAACATGTAATCAGGTGTATTCCGGCGGTGGAAAATTGCAACGCCCTTTTTGAGAATGATAATCATATTAATAGAAGTTCGGAGAGATAATTTTAAAAAAATGGCAGGAACAAGGGAACCTAAGTAAATACGAAACATAACACGGAAACTACTATCGCATTCCCCTTCCCCTTAAGAGAGAGCTGTGTTATCAAATTTCTCCGGGCTTCGTATGGTTGGACCTTCAGTGACCTTTGCAATTTAATTTTTCTTGCCCTTGATGCGATAATTCCAGCACCTAAAAAACGAATCTCCTTGTTCATTGACAGCAAACTTTCACAAAGAGCCTGAATGTCGAGCAGTTAGTGCTTAGAAGCCTAGCTGCA